ATGTGCATAATTGGAAGTAGAATGTTCGCGCATCCCAAAAAGGGATGATCAAGGCCAATGGTTTCATCCTTTATGCTTCATCCTTGACCTCATAACCGTGACCTAAACCCCTAGCCCACCTTCCTCTTTTGCAGAAGCTGTCTTCAGAGACGATAGCTATTAATGTTTTTTCAAGGAAAAGCTATTCTTATTTAGTTAATACTACAATTGAACAATAAAGCATTTAGAGTTGTGGTCCATTTTGCTCATAAACGAGCATCCTTGCGATAACCTAGTTGCATTTTTTTATCACCGGATCTTTCTCAACCTCAGCGGTTCCTGTGTCAGTCTTCGTGAGTCGAAGGTAGAAAAAGAAAAAAGGAAAAGCTTTGGGAATCGAGTGGTTATATTCATACTTAAAATAAAAATGCTATTGTACTGCATGGAACTCTGCTTATTACGTAGAAGGGCCAAAAAGCGAGGTTACAGACCGGCTATTTACTAGTGCTCCTTGACATATAGCTAGTCTAAATAAAATCGGCACAGATTGAAAAGTGATAGGGTTCAAGATTGCACAGCTTCGCCACGAGCGGAGTTGTTTTGTGTATGCTGCATGTTTCACGAAACTTCATGTTTTGGGTCTATTTCAGTTGCTAACACCTTTATCAGCAACTTTCACGCGTGTACCTGTAGGACAGTACCTAGAGGCTCGAATATCGAGGGTTAATCCAGTAAAGGTGGAATTCTTGAAGTATGTTTGATTAATATGATTTCTTGGTTTTTTTTTCCCAGGCAGATGAAAACTAGTCGCATGTAAAGATGTTTAGTTTTGGTAATTCGGTGCAATTGTTCTACATCTGTTTTTGTATCACCATTGACAATGTTACTAGGAAAAACTTACTCTTGCCATTTTCGCATTTTCATTTATGACTATTGAGGCTCCACCGCTGTCGTCGAATGAACTCCCAGAATATTTCAGGTTAGCTGAGGATTACGATTTTATTACTTTTACATTTATCGTCACTTTTGTTGTGCTCAATTTAGTCTGACAGACCTATCATAGACTTTTGTTTAAGTTTGTTTTCTGTATTGGTTAGGACATTCCAGTAGCGGCACGCGCTAATGGAATGCACTAACCGGCGCCAAAAGTGAAAATCTCTCACGCGACGTTATGACCATCCTCCCAATCACTCTCACAGCATTTCAAAGTGAAGGCGGCGGGAACGACGATGTGATTGCGATGTCGCGACGGTTGGCATGGGCCATTAGGCCTACACCCATGCGTTTTCGCTTGGCCTTCACATTGTTTAAAAAAAAAGTACATACTTATTCATAATGCATCGATATGGTAGGTATCAGACTTCGCGATCAGTCGCTAGCGAGTCGTGCGATTCGCTATTACTGCATGGTCTGACACCTGCCTTTGTTACGTGGCTTATGCACTGCATAATTTGAAGATGTGCCTGCTGAAAAGTGTGATTTAGGATTGGTCGTGATTTACCACGGCACACCGAATTCCGGGACTACATAGAAGAAAGTAAACTGATGCGGAACACGTACCTAGCGCAAGCACTTCATTTCCCCGTGACTTCTTCGTACTCGTTTTGAAGCTGGAAGGAAAATAGAAACGGTATTGTGATTTCACTTGATTATTATATTGAACAGAAATACTTTGCCGTTTCATTTTGGCTAACAGCTTTGCGAATTTTCATTGTTCACTTTGATGTCGCTCGAAAGTCTGTAATTTCACACATTTTGGAGTATAACAATTCTTTGCTCATGTCAGCAACGGAGCATTATGTGAGAGCAGGAAGTATTTTTTTATGTTGCATCAGCACGCCAATAGCCATCATAAATGCAAATGGGTCGCTCAAAATTAACCTTTTGTTGTCGAAGCAAATTGATAACCTGTTACGTATCAGGAGACGCTCATGACTGTTAGACCGCCGTCGCACTCGGCGACGGACAAGCGATGAGCTCTGGCGATAACTTCCATCGCTCTGTGCGATCGCACTATTAGACCTCGGTCAGACTCGGCGATTGCGTCGCTGGACACCAGCGACGGAGCCGCCAGCGACGGAGCCGCCAGCGACGGAGCCGCCAGCGACGGAGCCGCCAGCGACGGAGCCGCCAGCGACGGAGCCGCCAGCGACGGAGCCGCCAGCGACGGAGCCGCCAGCGACGGAGCCGCCAGCGACGGAGCCGCCAGCGACGGAGCCGCCAGCGACGGAGCCGCCAGCGCAGAGCGGGCCCGATGCACTATCTAATTTGTATGAAATTTTGGAATGTGGCACTTCGCTCGGCGACATAATAACTAGTCTTTTACATAATTAAGCTTAAGGTAAATTAGCGATCAGGACCTCTAAGTCTTTTCATAGTTTTAAGACACAATGAGGAGTTTGAACTATATCAAAATACTTTTGTACGTATGAACTTCTAGAGTTTTTAACCACCATCCCTTTGAAATCCGAGTTAGCCTTCCAAACGTTCAATTCGTTTCCCAGCAATGTGTACTATGAAAGCTCTCATCTGTAGTTACATTTTGTCTATTGGTAAAGTCAAAAATCAGAAAGAAAAACTGCGTTCAGGGGAAATTTTGCATAATGTTGAGCAAGATTTGGTCGCGCCAAAAAGAGGCGCGGTCCCACGAGCACGCTACGTCCAAATCCGCATTGTCGTCAAAGGGTTAATCTCCCCCCCCCCCTGCCAACCGATATCGATCGTGTGATGAGTCATCGCCCGTTGCCCACTCTTGTGGCTGGCGGCTCCGTCGCTGGCGGCTCCGTCGCTGGCGGCTCCGTCGCTGGCGGCTCCGTCGCTGGCGGCTCCGTCGCTGGCGGCTCCGTCGCTGGTGTCCAGCGACGCAATCGCCGAGTCTGACCGAGGTCTTACCGCGCTTATTTTCAAACGACCTATCAAACTTATCAGAAATGATCAATGACCCACGAAACACATGACCAAGGAAAATGGGGGAATCTAGTACTCATCCCAACAAACTTGACCTTAATGCAATGTTCTATTTTTAGCTTATGAAAAAAAAACTGAACTTATTTGGTCATTGTTGCAGGACCGTGCAGAACCTGCGGCGGCCATACGTAAAAGGCAGAATGAGATGCTTGCCGACGAGTATGTGGTACGAGGCGTGGAGCACATGCGGTCTGGCAATCGTGAAGCGGCCATCGTCCGTGCTCATCAAAGCGCGAAATAAAAATCCGCATTGTGTCGAAGCGGCTATGCCAGAGGCGACAGTGAGTGATTTTTATATTGAACTTTGCATCATCGACGTCGTGCGTCCCTAACTTCAATAGAAGAACTTAAACGCCAATGTGAACATTTGCGTTCGTTCGGCGGCTGCGTCGCGGCTCCGCTGGGGAGCGCATTGTTCTTGCTTGGCGCGTAGACGCTACGCGTTGCTCAATGCGCTTCGCAGATAGTGCGCACCAAATGTTCGAGTACTTTGACATTCGTATTTGATAGGAGGGTCTTATCCCGTGAGGGGCATTGCGATTGACAGTGTCCAATGCTACTACCAAGTTTTATAGTGGACGTCTAAGGCTAAGCATTAGGGTGGAAGGGAAGGGGGAGGGGAGAGAGACTTCAAGTGTGTGAGAAGCTTATTTTTCCCAGAATTCACCCCTCCCACTCCAGGCTTAGTCCTCCGAAGACACCATCTAGGTCGCAGTAGCTCCTTCCCACCATAAAGTACAAAAACCGTACCGCATACAAGGAAATCAAAGAACTGGTGTAGGAATAAAACCGCTTACAACTCGTAACTTCGAGGAACTCCTTGTGCCAGAGTGGCATCAGCATAGATGTCCAGCGCGCGCCTCCTACTGCACACCGGTGTTCTACTATCAGATAAGACCCGATAGTAGAACAGTGGTGTGCAAAGCCCTAGAGCGAACATAACCTTTCCGTGACATGTTATTGTCGAGCAACATAGCCCGATGGAACTTAGCCACACACAGGAAGGAACTTCTGCAGTACAGTATTGAGAGCAAATAAGGGAACCGTTGTAAAGACTACGGAGTTGTTATGACCTGTTTTACATCATCTATATCGTCTCTAAGTCTTGCAGACCAGTGTACTTCTCATGCCATTTTTATGCCATTGGAAGTTTCACTTTCAGTTTTTATATGGTTTTGGATTGTCTCCTCCGACTCCGTCCACTTACCTTAATCCTCGAAAGGACACTATGATTCAGTGCTTGAAAACTTGCAACAAAGGGATCCTCCAACTATACTGGCGCAGTTGGTTCTTCTAGATGGTCATTTGCAGAAGTTTTGGCTCAGTTAGTCTTACTTACTGCTTTTGCGGTGTTTTAGAAGTCGCTAAGTTTTTTCTTTGACGCTCAAAACCCCGCTCACACCACATTATTTGGTAGACTGTGAGATCAGGTATTAGAATACGCACCAAAAATGATTAGAAAGTCGTGATTTGAGAGTAGTTGAGTAGGAGATGGGATTGGTCTTCCCCACTGACCAATCATTAATTACAGAATCTTTTCGGGTCAATCTCTCAATCCCCTTATATTCTGGGCTTCTAATATACTATGGACTCGAACATTTGGTGCGCACTATCTGCGAAGCGCATTGAGCAACGCGTAGCGTCTACGCGCCAAGCAAGAACAATGCGCTCCCCAGCGGAGCCGCGACGCAGCCGCCGAACGAACGCAAATGTTCACATTGGCGTTTAAGTTCTTGTTAACTCAATTTGAGCGATCTGTGTGTCGGCTTTTTGTCTGCGGCGTCTCGTAAGTGACAAGACCTAGGATTGGAAGTAATTATGAAGGTAGTGTAGGTTCAACGAAGAGATAGGGTTCAGTGTAATCCATGAGAACTTTCTGGAGATCTATGATAACAGGTCAGGGGTGATCCCCAAGTAGAATATTGCATCATATGGCAAATTTCTGCAGTATTTTTTAGTGCACTGAGATAACATGCTTAATTTGATTGAAGCTATGTTTGAATTTTTGATGTTCTGAAGAGAGAAATGAGGCATTTGTCGCGGTGATATGCAAAATGCATAGGCCCGATTCAGAATCCGATTTGTGATCCGACGAACATTGCACATGCGCGTGATGCGAAACGTATACATGAAACGCACAATTTCTTTGCGTCGTCTTCCGCAGATATTCGACAAATGGACACTACGTGCTGGCTGAGGCCGACTTTGATCTGGCGCTCTCGCTGATGCCAACCCACTCGAATGCTCGTAATTACATGGTGGAGACACTTGTGAAATATGCATCGCTGTGAGTTTTTTCTACTTCTAATGTGCGATGTCTTCAGAAACAAGTTTTTTATGCTTCAAAAAGAATTCTTCGAAGTGGAAATAGTTTTGTTTGCCATTGGTGAAGGGCTCTTCATTTGCTGCACGTGCAGTGGCGTCAAAAAAAGTTCTCATTCTGTTTTTCTTTGCTTCTTGGTGCCGAATGTGCTAATAAGTCTGCATTTGAGAAATTCACATTGGTTAATGGGGTGTATAATTGGCAGCCCCTTCAGACTTCTGTTTCAGGTTGGAAGTACAAGGTGATTTGGAAAACGCGAAAAGCAAATTCGAGAAAGTTTTGCGGCTAAAGGAAGACAGACGAGCGAGAACAGCGCTAGCGAAGCTGGATAGGAAGAAGAGAAGTCCCTCTGTGGAAATATGTGAGTTCAGTTCTGATGTCATGCCGAGGAGCTAGGCATCGTTTGAATTGTTATCGCGCGGCCGCAAACTCGCAGTCGTAATCATCATGGAGTGTGCCCATTCCACGCGGTCCCAACGACTTTCTGTTATGGCGCTTCACAACAAAAAATTCACACATAAAGGCATTTCTCGTCCAGACTATTTGAGACTTGTCAGAGCCTGATTTCCCCGAAGATTTTAACATTTCATGTTTCAGTGGAGAATGATAATGACAAGCCTGAGTCGAAAAACGCAAAGCGCAGCGATGTCGAAGAGGAAAAGCGTAAACGTCGAAGCACTCAAGAAGCTGAGCGAGAACGAAAGCGGGAACGTAATGATCATCAAGAAACTGCGAGAGATGGAAGCATTCATCAAGGCGTTACGAGAAAAGAAATGACTGCGATTGTTGCTCGAATATCCTTTTGATATCGCTTGGTTGTTAGCGTGCGCTCTGTTCATTGTCTTCCTTGGCAACTGGTCGGGCCAAGTTCTTTATATCAGGTATTGTTTGTTTAGTTGTTTTGCTTTGTTGCAGCATTTCAATGGTGCGTATATTGTTTTAATAAAAGCTTTGTTATTCAATGCTCTGCTCCATTTGTGATGAGTGGGCTTTTCCATGATTATCGACGCAGTTTTGTATTCCTGGATTTCTTTTCATTTCTATTGTAATTGTGTTTGAACTTCTAGAATGTCGTGTGCGAGTCACCGCCGTATGCACACTGGACGATGCCTATGCATCCATTCATCGTTACAGTGTCTTGATTTGGCGATTCAGTCGCTTCTACTGAACCATGGCCTCCTCCCGTGTCCACTGTCGTTAGTACCGGAATCGCCACCTCCAGGCCTCGTGAAGACCCTGAATGGACTTGAAAAAGTAAGTCTGATGGTGAATTATCCTTGTTTAAAAATTTGACATCTTTCCTTTTAGCTCTTTTTCTGGCACTATTTACCCTTTACTGCCCCACTCCTCAAGAACTGAGCCGGATTTTGATCGAAATTCGTCCATGACTAAGGATTTGGCTAGAAACTTGTTTCAGGGGTATTTGACCCGTAGAACACGAATATCACACCGGTTTAGCGCGAAACGCTTGGCGCCCGCGCCACAGGCGCCGGCGCTATCACAACAGTTTTGCGCGGGCGCCCGTAGCGCAGGCTACAGGCTCACTCGCAACGAACTAATGTGATATTCATGTTCTACGGGTCAAAGTACCTCTGAAGACAAGTTTCCAGCGAATTTGGTGATCCGAGATGTTCTGGCGCGAGCGCCAGGCGTTCTAGCGGTAAACGAATGTGATATTCGTGTTCTACGGGTCGAATTACCCCTGAAGGCAAGTTTCTAGCCAAATCCACAGTCATGGACAATTTCGATAAAAATCCGGCTCAGTTCTCGAGGAGTGGGGCAGTAAAGGGTAAATAGTGCCCTTTTTCTTTCTTTCTTTCTTTTCTTTCCCTCTTTTCCTTCTAGAACTCAACAGGAGGCTGTTAGAAAGCTTGATCGTCTTACGTTTCTGCGAAGTTTCGTTAGAGTCTGAGAAGTCGAGTCAATTCATAAGCAACCAGATTGGTCGCTGCTCTACAGAGTCGTCAGGCAGCCGCAAGATGGGCCACTCACCGTAACCAAGTCCGGATCCTTCGACCATCCACAAGCCCGCAGTAGTAGCAGTTGCAATCTGGACTTTTTCAAATGCAAGTCACCTAAAACCGAAACGTCTTGAAGGTTTTTCATGCGAATGTTTCCGATTCTTGTGGTACGACTTTGTCATCTCAGAAACGTCCCCGACACGGGTCGGGTTTGAACTTTGTGGGCTTCTAGGCACAAAGCACGACGTAATCTATTACGTTCCAAGTGCTCTATCACACGCACGCAGAGCGATCCAGCCGTCTCGCCGATATACCATCTCCGAGAAATTTGTAACCACGCCATCACCGACCCTATGTTGAGGTTGGCCGTCCAGTAACGGCTCTCAAGGGTCTGGATTGTAACCGGTACTGCTACGGACTTGTGTATGGTAAAGGATCCGAACTGGGATAAGTTGAGTGGTCCATCTTGCGGCTGCTTGGTGTTCTGTTCGATTTTGAACCTCTGCAGGGCAGCGACGACGTTTCGTCGGATTGTAGTTGACTCGAATTTTCAGGCTCTGACGAATCTCCGAAACGAAACGTTAGTCGATCAAGTTTTCTAACATCCTCGTGTTAAGTTCAATAAAAAAGTATGATTTTATGGTTAACACGTTGACGACAACGCGCGTTTTGGGTTTTTGCGCCGCGTGGGACCACGGCGATTTTGCAGGCGCCGCCGCCTCACATAAAATCCGTGAATTTTGAGCTTTAACTACCGCAAAACTCGGATGCAACAAAATGTTTCGAATGATATTCGATGTGTCAAACTTATCAGAAGGACAACTGTAAAAGTTCGATCGAATTGACGTTTTCTGGCAATGAAAGGCAAGTTTCAGTTGCTTTTGCTGTAGTGAACCTCAAAATTATTTTTGACGCGGTTGCTCCACTAAAAACATATATCTTGCTATATGTGTAGGTCTGTACTTACTTCTACTACTCTTTTTTATGACCAAGGTTGTCAGAATATAAAGAAACTAGGAATGAACACAATTGGGAAATTCGTAGGGCTTAGAAAACCTTCGCTAAAAAGGAGCATATTCAACCATTCAATGAACCTCGCCGTGTCTAGTCATATTATGGTGTAGTCTATAGAATAGATGCAAAAAATTAGAAAAGAAGTAGCGCATGCGCGAAAAAATTAATAATTTGTGTGTGCAGCGCATGCGCTGCACAATGTCGTCAACGTGTTAAGCCAAGGTTCGCACAGACCTGTACATGGCAAATTCCATTGGCAAATTAGCATTCACAAGTCGTTTTCATTCATCACACCAAACTCGTGTTTTGAGTGAAGAACAGTTTCCGCAGTGCCGGCTTTAAAGCAAATTCTACGATCAATGTTCCCCTGCATAAATGCTTCGAACTAGTTTTACTCCTTCGCTTTAGTACTGACATTGCCACCCCCGTACATATGCACACCGAATCTCACCCACACTTCTGCACTGCCGGGTAGGCACGTCGGTAAAGGTGCCCTTGAAAGAATTGATATTACTTTTTTGCCTATTAAACTTTCACCAACCCCATGAACACAATACACACGGTCTTCGACCGAGAATACACAAGCTCAATGTAGCGATTACCACTTTTGTGACATCGAAATACACCGAAATTGGCGCGGGCGTCAATGTGTTAAAGGAATCCTTCGCGGAAAATTCTTGCATTCTTTTTCAACATGAATGTGTCAGTTGTGATCACTGGAAACAGCACACAAAGTTTCACGCATGAAGATTCGGTTTCCGAAGAGAAACAAACTCACGAAAATCCATTCTATGGACATCGAAGGTAATTCGGGCGGAGCCAAAGGCGGGGCATGGAAAGAAGTCCGCCTTGGGGCGGCTACGTATCAGGCGACGCAATGAAAGAATCGGGTTAAAGCGCGCGATTTCGGAGAGTAGAGACAAATCGATCGATAGAATAGGATGGAGTAGAAGTGTAAGATGTGAATGCAATAAGCAGAAGGCCAGAAAGAGTTTCTAGTGAAGGCACTCCAAGAACCAAGTGGAAGCATCCCCGTCGCCAGCATTGTGAAAGACGTCCGTGGGCAATTTGAACGCGTAGCAGCCCTTTCGATTTTTCGAATTTTTTACCAAAACAAAGCAATTTTTCTGTTCTTTTCATTCTTATCGTGGATAATGGGTCTCAAGCCAGTGATTTATGGCTGAAATAGAATCATGATTTTT